ACCAGTAGTTTATATATACTATTCCAGGCATTTTACTGCTCACCAAATCCTTTAGCCATAGTAAAACTACATTTCTTTGAAGTTGAGATCCTACAATTTATCAGCATTTCGAAAAATCCATCTACGACTTCCCAGTATTTCTAGATTTTCACCAGTTCTCTGGAAGATATCAATCAGTAACAAAGGCACTTTAAAACAAAAAAAAATCGCTATTTAAAAGAAATTTACTCTCTGCAATAAAGGTGTCTTAATTGGGTGAAGATGAAGTAAGGCTGTGGGCTTCGGTTAAATTAATAATGATGATACTAATACTCAGTACCATATGTTTGATTATATTTAGTCAGAGATCTTTAATATCTTATTTGTAGATTGTTTTTTGGGACAGGTGGATTCGAATGTGGTGGTTACTAACAAGAACAAAAGTTTGACTGAGGACTCCTAACCTACCATCTTGTAGCAGTGAAATGTTCTGATCTGTTACATGTACCATTTAAGCTTGTATTAGTCTGGAAAAGTTATTTATTCTTTGTAACAAAGATCTACACTCAGTTCTGAAGCATTTGAAATTGAAGTTTTAGTCTTTGGATTTTTAATAAAGTGTTATTCGTTATTATTACTATTAGTATTGTGGTGTGTGCCATTTATATTGACAGATATGAGTAGTTTGCAGCACCAGCCAGAAGTGAAAATTCTCACAGCAGAAGACTAAGAAGATTAAATCAAAGAGAAAACGGAAACGTAAGTAGAAAAGATTTGTGACTTGGAAGAACCATACAGAATGTGAAAGACAAATGATAGAATTTCGCAAATAAAGTATTTAGTATATAGTTCTCATATTTTACTAAGCGATTCCGTAATTTGTGCTGAAATACATTGGCTGTTATCATTCATAATGGCATTGCTACCAGTAATCGACCGAATGCCCAGTTCCATTAAATTATTGAGCAAAATTTTACTAATGATACCTAAAATTCCATTCCAATTTTAAGAATCCTTCTGTCATGTCCTCGATGAGTTCTGGAATAACATAAAGCGTCTATATTTTCTTATCAATAAGTTACTAATAGATACGATTCTGACTAATGATTTTGTTGGAAAAAATGTTTCTTCAGGTAAATCAAATACGCTTTTCATGAGACAAACAGAGTTCGTTGTGGTGACATATGAATCACTCAACTACTGAGATAATTGTGAAAGTAAAACAAAAAACAATCAGATCTTGTTGTATAAAATAATCTTGATATGAGATATTTTCTATCTTCATTTCTCATTTACGTTCATTTTAAATCAGCATTGCTGTCAATTTAATTTTTGTCTGAAATGAAAGCTTCATCTTTTTTTTAAAACTCGTAATACTCACTTTCAACTACTATATTGAATGAAGATAGAAATCACACGGAAACACTAATTCCGTTCAGGGTGAAGTGAGGTAATCCTGTTTATGAATGATTTTTATTAAATAAGCAAATAATAGGTTTCCTTATCTCTAGACTAAACAGAAGGTAGTTATATGTATATAAAAACTTCCAATTCATATAAAGTTGATAACGTTTTTTCAGAGGGATGAAATTCTTCATTGTTTTTTTTAGTTTTATTAGGAGTTAAACATATTCTTCATTTATACTTGTTATATGAGATAAAGCGTAAAAAACAACTGAAAAACCGAGCAACATTAATGAAGTTCTTTGGTCTCGTTTGCAGTGTTAAGCAAAACGCACTAATCACAATATATCAGATAGAACACAAAAACTTAAGATATCGGTAGAGATCTAGCTTTACAAAGTATTGAAGACCAATCACTATCTACCTGACTTATTCAAAATCTACTTATCAGTAGGGCAAAGAATGAAGTATTTACCTAAAATCTCTGATTGGTTTACTTTGGATTGCATTTACAATGTTTCAATGACAATCTGCATGTTACTTTATTCATCCAAGCAGTGAATGGTAGGTAAATTTGCAAATAGATTCCCTATATAGTAATCAGTGAGATCAAAGGATATACAGTCTAACAGTTGTCGGACCTACGTGAATAATTTCTCGACACTAGCAGGTACTAGAAAGGATGCATCTGGCACAATGAATTTGCCTAATTATATTAAGTACTAAAATTAAGAATAGATCAGAATCTTCTTGACAAAGATTTGAACAGTAGGTATATAAGCAACGAAACAATCTAAAGTCCATTTAGGAATAAAACAGACTTTGTTGAGTCTGGAATTTGATCAAATAAATTACATTTTTAAAAGTCTGGTGAATAAAGCTTTCTTTCGATTAGGCATGCTTCTTTAATGTCGGACTTATTATTCTTTAAATCATATTATCTATACCCTCAAACCGTAAAGATTACTCGTTGATTTTTCACATCAATAGTGCTCTCTAGATGTTATATCTTAGTAATGACTTAATTTAAATTTCTGTACTTGTGAAGTATATTTTCATACATAGAAGTGGACAAGATTTTAAGTTACAATTGTTAGTTTTATTTATTCTTCCTGATAGAATCTGTAACTTCAGTATTCCTTCTAAAGTTTGTTAAATATCTATAAATATGATAAATTTGAAAGGATCAACTCTTAACTGATTGGATGTGGACCATAAAAGTATGTTAACATGTTATAAAATTTATTTACCATTCGATAGATCTCAAGGTTATCAAAATACTATTTATACATTTATTCCGTATTTAGTGCTGATGAATTCAATAACTCTAACTATGAAATCTTTAATTATATAATTTTCACTAAACAGTAACACATAGGAAACCCGAAATGATTATCATTTTTTAAATATGATCAAATAAAAAATTTGGTCTCTACGTTGAAATTCATATGACAACAATATAGTATACTTTATGCTTAATGATAAATCCAATTAAAGAAAATAGTTCAGGGATTCGACGAACAAATTTAAATTTATTCACTTATAGAAGGCGATCTATATAATCTAGCAATGCTATTTGACTGATTATTTATTTTATTTATTTAAACACATAAATATTGGTACAAGGAAGCATCAGATATATATGCGCCGCACAAATCTCATTCGATTTGTGTGAGGGCTGTGATACTGCCCAGGTACACAAACTGAAGCAGGTGGTTTTATTAAAGGACCGCAACCGGAGCTTTTGACCTAAAGGTCTGATTCATAAAGCAGTGGAGTATTGTAAGGAGATGCATTCCCATTGTAGCCGGTCACCAACGATTGATTCATACGCCATTTGTTCCCACATGATACTGGAGCCCATGTGTACCACTGGTTTGAAATTAGGGTTTTCCTACTCCCCTAGGTGGACTTTCCGTGTCCACCAACACGGTTAAAGAGCCGTATATTCGCTTTTCGTTCTCTCACTTTCGTGAACAGCATCCCTGCCACGAGAAGGCAGTGAGTAGGACTTCCCTGGCAGAGGCTGTATACGCGTGGCCATATGAGAGCATTTCGAGAAGAGCGGACTATCCGCACTTTCGGCCGTACCAGGGGATTTTGAGGCATAGTATAATCAAAGTAGATATAATTGTTATTTCATCTAGTAATTCAATGATTAGAATATAGATGAACGAATTATCACAAATATTGATAACGGGAACATGTCAAATTATTATTAATATTATCAATCATAAAATCTATTTTCATAATAAGCAGAGATGGATAGTAGCTAGGAGTGGAATCCAGGACGCGCGTTTCGTCCTATTTGGGACTCGTCAGCTGGATGTACCTGCATCTCAGAGTTGATGTTCACTCTGGGACTCGAAACCGGTACCCTCGCTTCAAACGTCATCGCGTTATCCACTCGAGGCAATACGCACAGTATGCACATATGCCAATTAGAGACTGACCAGCTGCAGTCCTAACAAATCGATGGGAAGATTCAAACAAACAATACTGAAGGAATTTATTTTCATAATAGTTTTGAAGTAAAGATATTTTTATATACGCATATATTGATAAGAATAAATATAAAAAAAATTTTTTCGTTTGTTTTTTATTTTGTGAAATTGAGTGACATGAAAGTTCATGTTATTATGTTTTAATTTTTTTTGTTTTTTTTAAAAAGAAAGGATAAACATAAATAAAAAGAAAAAAATAAGGAATTGTTTTATCTCGAGGAAAAAAAGTGTGTGTAAGTATTTTTTTCAGACTATATTATCATATATAAAATAAAATCAATATATTTTTTTATTTTTTCATAAAGATATGAGAAATAATTACATTGTAACATTAATAACAACTGTTGTTAAATCACTTATCACTATTATTATTACTACTACTAGTAGTAGTATTAGCAGTAGTGGTGACAGTAGTAACATTGATAGTATGAGAAGTTGTGTTAGTGTTAAAGCTTCCTCAAAATCATTACTTATTTACTAGCATGAATAAAGTAATTGAAGTTGTTTTGTTAAGAAAACAAATAATAAAAATAATAAATTTTAATTACAATAACCCTTTTTGAAGAAGAAATCTATGATAAAAGTAATAGAAGAAATATGAACAAAAGTATATGAGCAATAATCATTATCACAATAATAAAATAAGGATATTGTGATGGAAACTAATGATACATTAGTTGACAAGGTTACAAACAGAAGGAACGATTTTTTAACGTGAAATTCTACCGTAGGAAAAGATAATATTACCACTACTGAACAATTTGAATGTTTGTACATATTCATGATAAAACAACAAGGTAAGTACATTTTCAAGTACATATGAATTTACAAAAGAAAACACTTCAATAATGGAAAAATATTTACAAATTCTGAGCAATATAATAAGATGAGTGAAAATAATAGTGGTGATGCTGTAATGTACTGAAATGTAATTATATATATATATATATATATATATATATATATATATATATACTCGTTTCTATACAACACAATACATTATATATGGAGGATCTCATCTGAGAGAAATATATGTGATTGTCATTGTTTTGTCATATTTTGAATAAAAGATAGAAACTACACAGCCAATCTCTTGAATATAAACAAATATTAGTTATTCAATCATAAAATTCAAGTATTATACAACAGATATTCACTATATGTCTAAAACAAAGATTGAGAACAATAATCTAAAGTATGACTGATATAATAAGCAACCAAAAAAATAATCTTGAAATTCACAATTAAAGTATGGATTAAAAAATGAGAACAAAATGATACATTAAAACAATAATATTATTGTACATATTATAGCTTATTTTATATACACAAGCTGATAGTAACAAACAATAAATTATATAAATGTTGTAATATAATTGGACGATAAAATTATGAAATACTTCGGCGTAAACGATTAGCTAAAAGATGTAATTCTGTGTCAGGTAGAGAATTTTCAAAATTGCCAAGAAATTGTAAGATTTTCAGATCAGGACGGATCGAATAACGACTATATATTTGATAGGAATTAGAAACAATAAGAAAATACACAAGTTGATTTGATATATATATATATATATATATATATATATATATATATATATATATATATATATATAAGGTTGTAAATCATACTAGATTTCTAACCAACTTTTAGACTGTAACTGCTATACAAGTCCTCATCAATAAACAATAAACATAGTATTATAGTCAAAGTTTTACTTTAAAGTTGGTCTACATAAATGATCTATTGAGTATTAATTCAGTAATAAGCTATTCAATGGTTCAGGGTGTTGAGAAAATGTGCTAAAATGAATAGTCTGTACGTTCGCATTATAAGATCGAGAAACAACGGGATTTACCGAAGATGCTGGGTCGACTAAGTAGATTTTTAACATTTTGAAGATATTTTAAGGGCTTTATGGGAAATTATTGGCAAATAAAACTTATGAATAACATCATATAACAGATAATACATGTGGTGACAATGTTTGTAGAAGACAGTATGTGACAACACACCCAAAGAATTATCCTTTAAATTTTGTTAAGATTATGAATGTACGTCAGCTGAATATTCATTTATTTTTATGGTCTCAAATTGTTTCCATCTTTACTAAGCTATTTTTGTTATTAACTAACATTAACCATTGAAATTCATTTGAGTTTTAAGTTTTTTTCAACTGAATAGAAATTAAATGCACATCTTCAAGAGAAGCACATTTTCTATAGTTCATTACTATTTAAAAAACCCTTCTTTTTAAAGCATTTCAAAGTTGATTAACCCCGTATTAATAATCAACTGTTAGCACACGTCTTAAAAATAGTTCTAGTAGGATATCGATTAACACGTAGCCAAACAACATTTAACACAACTTCAGCATATTGAAAGCAACAATAACAATAGCATGATAGAATCACAAAATTATTAAAACAATTATGAAATAGAGAAAAAAATCGACGAGAAAATGTACTTAATTGAACGCCCAAAAAGATTGTAGTGGCTGGTCCTAAGTCAAACCCACATAGTTATCCTAGCTTCTGGACAAACCACCTTGTACATCCTTCTCAAGCTACATTTCGACTTTATCATTTATTGGCTTATTAACCTTGACTGTTTTATATGAGCGTATTTTTGTGCATTTCTTATCTTACTCATCACATGTCTGTAACTATAAATATCGATTCACGCTTGGTTAAATTGAGTTGGCTCATTCGCCTTCTTCATTGCGCGTCATTTTGTCTTGCTTTACTTTCCGATCAACGACTATACAAAATATACGTATTCAAAATCCATTCCCGTATTTTATTTATATTAATTCTATTATTCACTAACATGATTTAAGTCGATAATTATATACGAGGATGGTCAGGATGTATATTTCAATAACAATCGTCATACAGACCAAAGGAAGTCTAATCTCGGGCCACTAAAGGATTTTATTTTTACTTGTTGGACTTCAAACACTAGCTATTTGCTTGTTACCAGAGTGGAAAGTTTGATGAAATTAGCAGGCTTAAAGATAGTTATATAAAATCAGAAAACTAAGGATTATCGAGTGCTAACACAGTAGTCTAAAGGTAACAGACCAGCTGAAAGACATGATGGTCATAAGTAGTGAGCGGGTTGTACTGAGTAATTTACTACTAGAAGGAAGCAGGTGTTCAATGACAGTTGGTTTATAATAACTTGTTAGTCAAGGTAATCATCCAGATAATTATTTGTTCAACCTAGTAAAAAACTCCGGCCAAAGTAAGAATTTCAACAGTATATTAGTTACTGAGCTTAATGATTTTGTTTCCCACTGAAACCTTACATTCTGCTGAGTTGATTATTTATAATCAGTATAATAATATGTAATTTACAACGAGTTACAATATCGGAATTCATATCCACCTATTTTCTAGTAGCAAAGTGACGGTCAGTCTAACGGTGGCTGTACAATACCATTACATTTGCGTGTGTACGAATCTTATTTAATAGTGATATTATTAATTATATTTGAAATAAAGGACAAACAAACATTGGTCACTTACGACTTTTCAGGATCCATTTTCTCCTGTTTGACAAAAACGTATATAATTAGAAAATGTTTCCAACATCGCCAAAAGTTTATAATAGGACCATGATATGGTTGATATTTATCAGTTAATTGAGTTGGGAGAGTTTTTAAAAACAACGGATTACCCTGATCAAGGACAATTAAATTTTGCAGCATTAAACCTAAATATGGTATTAATGGTGGGTTGGCTGCTTCTAAATCACGACGATATTTTGAAAAGTAGGGCGGTTGCATGTACGGCGTAACCCGACTAAGACGCTATGACACAAAAATGCACACACAAAAAAGACAGAAACGTGATAATTAAGAAAAAATATACAGAGTATGTGCATTTTGCATAAAGTTGGATAAGCATAAAAAGGTACTGGCTATTGAGAGGAGTAATGTGAAATTTACATAACTTTTCGGAGAGAGAAGGAGTTATAACATAAATCCACTGAATACCACGGCGCTCAATGCTGATTAGTGTTGGAGATGGATGTAAGAAAGTTAGGGGCGACTAAACCAAAATGTGGCATCAGTCCATAAAGTCACTAACCTCTGATCTAAGCCATGTTAGTAGATGTAGATCGCTTGGTTGAGGTCCGCGCGGCTATCGTAACCAATGATTGGAACTCTGAATGACATGGCTCAGAATCGATCACAATGGTGTAGGCGTATATACTCTTTGTCTCCCCTTAAACTGTGAGATCGAAATTACTTTAGACCTTTCTTTCTGCGGACTATTTTTTCTCCCTCTATCATATCCTTATATGAAATGGTTTTTTACTACCATTGAAATAATTGCTTCTATGAATTTGGCGTTCATTTTGTTGTGCTAATGAGGTATGGCAACTTGGATCGATGCATATATGTGCCTGGTCCTACGTTGTAACTGACTGACTATGATATAAACAGCGGCCTCAATTGGAATGATCTTTCATAATAGACAAAAAATTTAGTTTAATGTAAAATTCACTTATTTATAACATTGCCATGATGCTTTTCTGTAATAAAATTGCTAACAAATAATTTATACCTTAGCATGATCAGTTTCTTTTCAGCCAAAAGCACGTGATAGACAGTGAACAATGGTAATACAAATAAAGAATTAAATATCAATTATATTTAAAGTTTAGCGATTACTATAAATATTAGATGAGTGAATACATGGAACACAATAAGAAAGAGATAAAATTCTAATGATAATCAGATATACTACATATTTGAGAAAATTTCATTGTTGAAAATAAACAGTTCAAATGTTTTGCCAAAGAGTTTAAATCAAGGTTCTTCAAAGCAATAACCAGCTGTTTATGCATCGAACATCGTTTATTGAATCGACACCTAACTTTACTAAAAGTGTTAGGATAAACCTTCATACAAATTCTTATAAACTACAAATAGAATATTGAATATTTATCATATAAATAGGAAATTCATTGCAAAATCTTTTAAACTTGGCGAAAAAAACTGAAATTTATCAACAAGCTGACTTACACTGAGTGTTTTTCGAGAAAACAAAGCTTCTGGTACTAGGAGAAATGCACAAAGTAAAGATAGGTAGGTACTATAATTTTGGAGTTTGTACAAGTGCTAGAAGATAGAGAAATTAAAAATCACGGTAATGTTAATTTGCAATATATATAATGAATAATGTATGGTGTTAAATGTAAACGGCACTATAATTGCAATTAGCAAATCGTTTATTGATTTTTTTAAAAGACACTATTTGTAGTAAGGTACTGGGAACAATCGATAAAAGATTCTGGATAGTGATAAATATTTTACACCACAAAAAACTATTTTATTGACAAGTGTTTAGTGTTGTCTGAGCTTGTCTAACTGATTTTCAGGCAAAAATCAAAATTGTAAACTATTATAAGGTTAACAACTTACTTCCATAACATCCAATAAACGATTAGCAACCTTATCACGATCAGACGCACTTGTCAAGGATAAAATTTGATATGTGGCCCAGTTAGAAACCATTGTAAAATGATGTGCACAAGCGGCTACACCAGGTGCTTTACCTTGTTCTAGTTTAGAAATGTCAAGCAGTTCAAACACCTGGAAATTAAAGGAAACAAAGAGCTCAACTTGAATTTTCGCCAAATAATAATATGTTCATGTCATACTATTACAAACTGATTGACTATTAGAGAGAAATGGAGTCTGATAAGGTAGGTCATCATTACAATCTAGTTAATTCTAATTGTGTTACTAAACAAGAGATGAAGTGATCATTAGGTGGATTAACGTCACACTTTGTTCTAAACACAAACCCTTGCAACCATATTTGTACATCACAACCGTAGTACACGAGCGTTGTATATGTGTGATACATAAAACCACAGAACAATCGAGTACACACATTTAATGAGAACTGTATGATAATCTATTACTAACCATTGAGGGGTAAGTAAACTTCCTGTATATCCCGCAAGTGGTAAACTTAAATGAATACCGACCAACACTTTTCAGAATGAGCGATGAAATTTTATTGCTCATAGAATGCAATTACAAACAAACCGACACGTTCGTAAGCTTGATAGTGTACTCGTTAACCAAGTAAGTTTTTTAACTGTAATACAATGTAGTTGTCTTAACTAATAAATCCTATCTAGGCAAGTTTCAGCCGACTGCCTCTGTCACCAGTGTCGTGAGGCAACAATACAAACTATTGCTATTCAATTACTATTTGGTTGCATTGAATAAACAAATAATCTATTGAATCAAACACACAATCGATAGTTAGTGTAAGATAGGAATCTTGTTAAAGTAACATGAATTTAAAGTAATTTCAATAGTTATCAATTTTTATTCAAAACAGAAAATCCATCTTACTGACAGGATTTCTAAAATATTAGAAATACACTGACAAATAGCAGCATTTTCAGTTAACTGAAAAGCTGAAATGAATGCACAAACCAAATATAAATATAAAAATGACAAGAAATTCCTTACAAGTTCTCAAAACATTAAGTTAAGCTCAATACCTGTAGTGTCCCAATCTATGTTGAAGTTAACAATTCATTTTTGTATTAATTGTTTGAATGTTCTGATTGATTTTTAGGACTGCCTCGATATTGCCCTTAGTGAAAAGTACTATAAGCGGAAATGGATACTGACTAGGAGTGGAATCCGGGACGCGCGTTTCACTTTATTTGGGACTCGTCAGCTGGATGAACCTGCATCCCATACTTGGTATTCACTCCTGGACTTGGACCCAGTAACGTTCTCATGAAACGCCATCGCGTTATCCACTTACCTACTGAGCCCAGATAGCCACGCACATATACCAATAAGAGACTGACCAATTGCAGTCCTTAACATAAATGGAAAGGTTCGAACAACCAATACAAAAGTAAATTACAAGCTTCACCCCATTGCACAAGCTAGTGGCTGTCAGGACTCAGTAGCTAAGTGGACAATACGATGGTGTTCGAAGCGAACGGTACTGTGTTCCAGTCCTGGAGTGAATGTTAACCTTGAAATGCAGGAACATTCAGCCGACGAGTCCCAAATAGGACGAAACGCATATCCTGAATCCCATCGCTAGCCACCATTCATCTCTGCTTATTATGTTGAAGTTATTATTTAAATACTTCACTAATATTGTAATATGATCCATACAGAATACATTTACAATGACTTGTTGTTCCAATTAATTGACCTGTACAGACAACATGATTGATTGATGTTTCAAATATTTCAAGAATGAAGAAAGTACATAATAATCGATGTAGAAAAACAAGAGGAATATGGGAAAGAAAATAATGAAATTCTATTCCGTCAGACTAAACACTCAACTGCAAACCAAGCTGTCTGGTATAAAATTTGCATTTATCATCATAGAAAAAGTTGAGGCTTGCACCAACTGTTGGTAACTTTTATATAAAAATACTTTAATTAAATGAACACTAATAATAATCCAAAAAATTACTACTAATGATAGTAGTAAGTATGGTAAGTTTTCTGACATCCAAAGAACTAAAAAATATAAATACACAGACCATTGTTTGTAATATGATAAAGAACCAAATAATTTTCATTTTACCAAGATTAAATTAAAACATGAAATAAATGAAAATAAATGTTTCTTACATTAATTTTATAATAATTTAAACATTCTAAATAGGTAAGTTGTTCAGCTAAAGATTTTGCGGAGAAATTCAATAGACCAAGACTACTTTTTGATGTGCTCAAATATATTCTTTTAGTTGGAAGTGAATTTGTTGTAGAAGAAGGATTATTTTCTGTCGATTCAATCACTGAATAACGATCAACATTTTCCAAAGCATGTGATCGTTTAGATTTAGTTTTTGGTAATGTAATAAATCCAACTTTTTCATTATATTCAGAGTATTGATTTGTTTCATTATTTCTATTTAACATGGATTGGTCGGATGATATATCACTTAGTACTGAGGTTCGACCACAATTTGATAGAAATAAATCAGATTTACGTATATTATTATTGATTATCTCAGTGTTTTTTGAGTTAGAATGAATTTGTAAGTATTCCTGTGACTGACGAAAAATTGTAATGTGTAAAATTCGACTGAGTGAATTATATTCGTCTTGTGAAAGAGTTTCTTCGAAATTTCGAAGAATTTCTAGCAATTCATCATTTAAATCTTGTTTTAATCGTGTAACCTAGTTATGAAATGAAACAAAACCAAACAAACAATTTAACTAACACCAAGATATTCAATAATTTCCATTTGATGTACTATGAAATTGTAATCAAGAGAGAAGTGATTCAAAAAAATGACGAAAAACATTTCATACGATTGATTACCTTCATAAATCTAAACAAACTAAGAATGATAATATTTTCAAAATACGATAAATTCATTGTATTTAGCTTCTTTCCTTTCAACTATATACAGGGCTATATGTTTTCTTATTTTCATTTATTGGAATGTTGCAAAGTGAATTATCAATCAATCATTTGTGTGTAATGTGACAGACGTTAGAATTTAAAGTTTTAAAAGGGGTTTTTCTTGTAATTAATTGAGATGCATCACTTGGTGCACACCCACCACTCATGTATGAGAAGGCCAAATTACACAAATCTAACCTACAAATGAGACCAATTATAAACAAAATTAATTTTTCTCGGCAATGAACTGACCCAACGGTCAGCTAACAAACTGAAATCGATTTGTAAAAGACCTAGTCGTATAAACTTGAAAGAAACTTGAATTTATTGACGTAATACGTCAGATTGATAAATCGGAAGAGCTTAAAGTTTTATACAACATATAGTTAGTTTTGACTATTATCTCTTCCAAAGAAACTATTGACATCACTGGTTAATACTCGCAAAGTATATGCACATCATGCACACAGCTATTAAGGATACAAACTAAGGACGTTCAGTTCTAATATAATAATAAATTATACTGTCAAGCAGATGAAGTAGCAATGGCTATTCATTTCGCTTAAGACCTTGACGACATATTTCCTGGAAATTTGGAAATAAAAAATTACAAACTGTTACCAACGAGATTACACTTTATGTACGAATACTGATGATATTTTTCTTGTACTTAGCGGCGTAAGTTATCAAAACAAGATACTCGAATCTATCAATACATTGAATTTCAACATTAAATTTACACTGAAAAATTAAAGAAAAGATGACTTTCGTTTCCTTTATTTGAGTACATCACCTTAAATTACATATATTGCTTTAAATGCGCATACATGTCCAAGTGCATAGGTAATCTTCTACTCTTTTCAATGAGCGTATTCCATAAAAATCTACACCTTCGAAGAGATAATTGACTACATAGTTTAGTAGCATGTCATCTACCAGACAAGGGGCACAAAGTGGATGTAATGAATTAGCTCAAAGTTTTTAATTAAACGTCCAACTCCACCTTATTAAATTTGGTAGAAGTCATGGCTATAACTTGACATTTATACCTGAACAAAAGTAAGTAGTTAACCATCAACTGCTTTAGTAATATTTTAACCTCTTTTTTCTTGTGTTAAGTGTAATCACAACCTAGTATGGAGGATTAACGCTTACATTTGTGCTAGAATGTAATAAAATTAACTTACTATTCTAGGACTATTACCTCAAATAATGATAAAAAGAACCTCTTTTAAAACTTTAATTCTCAACTTCTATCACATTACACACAAACGTAGATACTAAAATAACACGGTTCAATGTAATTGTATGTCATCAGTAATTATGAGGAGATAATTGAGATTACTTGATGATCAGATATGTATGACAAAATCAAATTAATGTAACATGACTTTAAAAGATACAAAATATGAGGGGGTGAAATTTGAAAATTACAATACTATAAGTTTAGTTTATTCGTAGAGAGTGTGATCAGGTTGCAAATACTTGGTTAGATAGATTCTGGGAAAACTTTGAGCATTCCATAAATAACCACTACAAAACACTTATAATAAGATAATGCAGCCATAAACCAATAGAATTATTGGAAATCAATATAATAACAAACTAATAATCAAAAAGGAAATCTTACCACAGTCACTAAAATTGATACAGTAGACGTACATACTTTAGATCTGACCTCATGAGACAAATTTGTTAAATGAGATAAATAACGTGGAGGATGGCTAAAGTAATGATATCGCGTTATCAAACGATTCACTAATTCATAAGATGTCATAAATGAACGATACATAAAAAGAAACGTTTCGAAAAATAAATAATCTATAATAACAGAAAAAAGAAAAGAACAAACAAACATTAGAGGAATGAAAATGCAACAACCTCATTTTTGTTGAAAACGAAATGCGAGAATATTGATTTTGAAAATAATATTCCTGATAGTGACTAGCAATAAAATGTGAAACCTGTTTTTCCATGTGCGAAAATTATTAGTCAACCTGGATCTCAATATTGATGTTCACAATGAAACTAGACGAGCACAGTATCTACCGTACTAAGCAGTTGAGAATAACAACGAGAAAAATACAAACACTATAGTTAGTAGTTTGTCGGGATAGTTTTTACAGCTATTGAAGACTTGGTATGGGGCTAAATTCATATCATCGAAATATTATGTCATGGGTCTTATTTATTGAGATTTGTTACGGTAACGGAGAAATGACATTCGTTATGAAATTAAACTAAACTGACAGTATATACATTACGATTACATTACAGTTAGTCTTTCTAAGACAATCGACAATGGATTTCCTATTGGAACTAATAAAAAATAAATCCCATATTACTACTTTTTTACATATAAATCAGAGATCAAGAAGGATATATTATTTCAAAAGTTAGTTTTGACCATAAACTGAAACAACATGAAATTATCATTAACTCTTTGAAAATAAGAGAGTATTGAATGACTCCTTGTTCTATTTTGAGATTACTTTGAACTATAAACGTACGATCCAACCAGGGACCAAACTCATGATTTCGAAGTCTCGCAACGAGCATAATAAATTTAGATCAATGACTCACTTTTAATGATCTATTTTAGTTTATTTGTAATATAATAACGACAATCAACCACTTTCATTATTGTTTACTGTCTTAATTTCGACTGTTGTTTATTTAGGTTGATCTATGAACCATTTGGCTGAATAATTATTCTTACATTTGATGATGTACAATATAAATGGATAAATAAAATTAGTGATTACGAGAACCAATTGTTGAATATTAGATAATATACAGTAAAGAAAATATAAACATCTTTTAAATGAATGAACATTGACTGAATCAAATATCAGAAGGGGATTATATGGATTCGTTGAAGTTAGACATTAACACCGTTGGATGCCGGCTCAGTGGTCTAGATGTTAAGTGCTCACGCGCGAGAGTGATAGTTTCTGGGTTCGAATCTCGCGAGGTGGGATCGTGGACGTGCACTGTTGAGGAGTCCCACAATAAGACGAAACGGCCGTCCAGTTCTACCAGGTCTTCCATGGTGGTCTAGCTTCAACTGACTCATGATTTCAACCATATGAGTCAGATATGTTTAAAGTTACATAAAGTTACGAAAAAATTCACACTAACCAACATCCAAATAATTTTTAAAATAGAATAAACGATTGTTAAAACTTTTATAAATAAAATAAAAAGACAAAAAGAGTGAAAACTTCATGCAATAAAAGTGTGTTTTACACCAATTTAACATATACAAATATAAATTGGAAATGAAACCACTACTCTACGAACTCAAACAAAAATAACTTTTGAAAAAATGAAAAAAAACCCACATTAACTTACATGATGGTGACATACGGCCATATGATGTTATATACACTATTAAAGCATCAATACATCCAGCATGTACAGAAATATCATTTAGCTAGACAAATAAAATATATAATAATATATGTTTATATAGTTTAAAAATGAGATTTACCAAATGAAACAAGGATACTGTAAAAGCAACAATATAAGGATGTTTAAATGAATAACTGTCAGTTGCAGTTAGTTAACAATCGATTTAGTCTTTTTTCCTGGTTATCAAAGTTTAGATTACCGTCTAGTGTCCTAAAGATACCATGGTCAACATTGATTCACTAACTTTTTGCAGTAATGAAAAGATGAAAAAGTGTAATCGCAAATTGCACCAACACTTTTAAGCGAATGAAAGAAACTTAAAAGGGAAAAAAATCTTATTTTTACTTAATGTAAAATAGGATTTTTAATACAGTGCACTTTTAACGTCAGAAAAAGAGAAATAGGTATAATTTGTTTTTTTTTAAAAACAACGAAGGATAGTTAGAATTTGAAAGAAAGATGGGTTTAATCATGAAAGTGTAGTCAGTAACCAATTTGATGCATAATTTGAAACATGATAACAACTAGATATTTTCAGTCGGAGTAATTATTTAACTGTTTTCATAAATATTTCGTTAGAATACATACACTTATGAATTGATTCTATAGTGCAAGAAGTGTGATTCACTGTTCAACTGAATCACTCAATGTTTGAAATGAATGGCAATAACTTTTACATCACTAATGAAACAAAGGTACAAAATATTCTCAATAGTTATTTGAACATAAATTGAATAATTATTAATATCCCAGAGATATCAATTACATTATTATTTAATCAAGAGAAAAAAAATACTAATCCAGTTTCTTTATGTGTATACTGATTAATAACAATAAATATAGTTATAATAATGAACTATTTGATACTTACAGAATTTCGATCACCCCATACTAAGTAATCGTTTGCTTTTAAAAGACTTAAGATAGGTAGTTCATTGGTAGCTTCGACAATAGGTAGAGCTGTGTAAATTTCTCTTTCTTGAGTTACTGTAGGGATATGGTCTTCACGTATTTCTTCATCGTCTGTTTCGTCACTCGTAATACTATAAGACGATGAAAGTAAATATTAACAGTTAAAAAGAAAATAATTTTAAAACAACTGAAATCAGTTTTGATAAGTTGTGTACCAATGTAGAAACATTAACGACAGTTTTGATCGATAGTTATTTCCCAATCACTCGATTGTATAACAGTCTAGAATACTCACTTTATAATTAAATTAGTGAGTAATGATATCTAGTTAGTCTAACATAATGAAAAAAAATGCTGGTCAGATACGTCCAATAAGTTTAGGGATAATTACAAACAATAACGTATACTTACTCAAATTATTTTGTGAACACTACGGCTTTCCATTAAACTGAATCCATAGCTTATATTTATTAAATCTAAAATGTTACTTTCCTGATTATAGCAATAAGGATTATTTTACTAAATTTGATCATAAGTGTTTTCGAATCATCTCAAGAGTATGATGAGACTATGAAATCAATAACACTTAGATTATAGTTATGACAATAAAACTCTACTGAGTTATTTATACAATTCAATTGTTGATAAGATTGTATATGATATTTGAAGAGATACTTAACAATTAGAGGTGAACTAAGTTTGATTGACGGTTGAATATTGAAATTTTGTCATATAATTCATTGCAATATTTGGTATTCTAGCCCCTAATTAGTTAATGATTAAAGCAAAAGGTATGAATGATAAGAAAAGGACTATAACTTACATGATTTGTGATTTGCGACGGTTAAACTCTGATAAATCTGTTTCTAATTGTTGTGATACATCTGCTTCTTCAGTTAAAGATGATGTTACTATTCGAAGAAAATACAGAATTTTTTCGAAAAATAAAACTTACTTTCATTGGATGATGAAGTAAGTGAATTACAAGATATTTTATCTGAAAATTCATCATCTGATAATATTTCAGGTAATTTCATTTCAGTATTACGACTAGCCTAAATAATATTTAGTAAGAAAAAAGAGAAATATTTTAGTTACAAGCTTGATCATTGACAAATTACGTAATCGATCTGCGACACATGAATTTTCTCTCTCTGTGCGCGTGAATATATATATATATATATATATATATATATATATATATATACTTCGCTTGGACCACGAACATGTGAGTATAGTGAGCAATATACGGGGTTAACTAGGATGTGCAGAGAAGATAATACGAACCTATATTAAAATGAATACATGTATACACGAATTTGTGACCAGGTTATATGAAAAGGATTGGCCACACGTTTATAGCTACAATAATAATCGGCAATATAGGTTGATGAATTAACATGTTTTCAACTTTTAGTGTCAAATGTCAAGCTTTGTGCCAATCACAATAATTAAACCGGTATACAACATTTTCAAGCTGAAATAACAGTAGTGGCATAATAATGAATAAAAGGAAATCAATGAAACGTCGAGATAAACAATTTCTTTTTACTAAGTAAAATGAAACAAAGAAACATAGACGCGCAACTAGACTAGAAGTAAATCAAGCCAGTTAAAAATACTGAAAATTGAACTTTGATAGAACGGTAACTAAGAAATAGGATATAATATGCCCTATTAATGTAAAAAAGAACACTATATATTCAACTATCAGGTTTCAATTTCAAACACTTTTTCACTAGATTTAGTTTAAGTAGTTGAGTAATGTTTATTTTAGTTACACAATCTGCCCAACTATCAGAAAGATTGATCCCCTAAAGCAACTTTTAACCATCTGGAAAAATACTTTAAAATAAACTGAGAATAATGATGCTAGGAGAAGACTTGAAAATGCTCTTGTCTTATGGTTTAGTCATCTGATAAGCGTGTGGGATTCCATTAAATAGTTATCATATATTAAATCATTACACATTACGCAACTTTTATACTTAAATAACAATAAATTGAAAAAAAACACCACTACAACTACTATAAAGTAACTATTCAGCAAGTTTGTATCAAATTTGTAAAAGCAAATGGAACTAGCTGCCATTATTATTTTGGTATGGTGGACTCAGTTCTTAATAATTTGTTGCTTAACATAGCATTTTAAACCCTTAATTAAAATGTTGACGTTTTTCTTTCACGTTCACGATTATCTCCACTGATCAATCATTTTTGAATATGCTAATACATGATGTAATACATGATATTAACTCTCTGTTTCTCGGAATCTATCGACATCCTCTTCAATTTCCCCTTTCAGAATATTAATGCAGTTATGGTGTATGCAGTCGACTATTTGAAAGACTCTAGTGATTTTTACATATTTATTAGTTTCTACTAATCTACCTTGATTAGGACTTTCTAAAAATGTTATAATATAACATGTATATATTTGCCTTTTGTTAATTAGTACTATTGTTTGTTGATTGTAAGAAACTAAGGAGAATGGATGATAGAAATAAATCTACTATGAATAGTGTTCGTGATTTACTGAAATTAAAAAAAAAATCCTAGAGAAACCGTATAAAACTAAACAAAGCGTTAACTATTATATTTGTCATAATAGTTGATATTAATTCAAAATATTTAGTCGTATTTTCAACATTCCATGACTCTCACGCAACCTAGTTGATTTATCCAAATTTTAGAACAGGCATATTGAAATTAGAGACAGAGAAAGTTGATTTCATTCTATGGTTAACAAAGAATAAATAAATAATTATAGAGAAAACAATATTTTACTTAGGAAAAATGCTATGGTCAATTTTTCTCATTGTATATTCTTTACCAGAAATAAGACAGAATTCTATTAGAATTCATGCGCATAAACCCAAATACAATTGCTTATCATCTAATTCAAGATTTCAGAACGTTTATTTTCAAAGTTGAACATGGAAGTGAACAATAATCTTTTGTCTTAGATTTGAAACGCCTTTATGAGTATTTTATGCTACCATACTTCTTCATGTAAATGAAATGAATCAATCATAAAGATGAGGTGACTTGTCCCACAAAAACGTTTATTTCTTGAACATCTTTTAAATGAAAAAAAATGCTAGAGGAAGATGAAGATCGTGCAGAAATAGGAGTATTATATATATTTTTTACGATAGGTAGTAGGAATTTAAAAAATGTGACAACCGTCGAGTGTTTCAAAAATTTATTTTGGAATGATAAAAAGGATTTTTAGCTCGGAACGATGTATTTTGTGGTGTTGTGTTTTCTGAACTACATAGTTTAAAAGAGAAACGTTTAATATTGTTCTGGATAACATTATCAGCGCCTACATATATTTCATTTGTCCAGAATGAGAATGAAGTCTTGTCAGTTAAATCTTCCCAGTTAGGAAACGCAATATCAGAAAGTATTTTTTTAAAATTAACACTTGACTGTACCACTGAGAAAAATTGCTTTAATTTCAGTTTACGTATCATGAAGTGTTTTTTTGGTAATGACTTTTTCACTTATCAAGTTAACAAGTATGTAATGTGAATAAGAATTTAAAATCAACCCACCAAAACACAATGTACCAACAACTTCAATATTTATTGTACGAATAGTTCGTTATTTCAAGATAAATAAAAACATTAAATGCTTTACAAAAACTATCATATGAATTTAAAAAATACTACTCACAATCGACTTAGTGCTTAATGTGCGAATTGTAGCCATATTCCACTTTCAAAATGCATACACTGTAAGTCAGTTCACGTAAAACAGGAAACATGAGTAGCCAAGTAACTAGACAAGATAACTTCTAGCCATTGAGATACATTTAAAAAAACGTTATGCCTATTTTGCTTCTACATTAATAAGGTAGTATCATTAGCGCCTGCATGAAAGTCTAACATTGGGCCAGGTACATGAACCTGTATTTGTTTAACGAGTTGTATCATCATAATGTACAACAATTTAGTGAATTATGTACATTATATAAAGCAGAATTCAAACATATTCTCCATTGTGAACATATAGTAAATGAACAGCGAATAGTTAATACGGCATGAATCCTATATAATGTACAACTCGAAATGGTGAATTTAAGATATTAAGTAAGCTACATTTGAATAGATGCTTCTCATGTACCGACAATAGTATCAAAAATGAAATATTGACTGCACACTTGGTAAACAATTAACAGTTTTTTAATTAAATACTCTCTGTTCGCGTCATCCATTTAACTTGAAACTATAAATGTTCAAACTGAATGTGAATTAGCTTAATTTTACACTAATAAAAGTGTTCATTTAAAGTTTTCTGAGAACTCTAAAGTAATTTAATAAGACTTTCTAATCATAATGAATGATGCTTGAAATACCTTTTATACTTGAGCAGAACAACAGTATGAATAATTTAGAGAGTTACAATAAAATGACTTCTATGATGACAAATATACGTACATATGAAGGGTTTAATCAAATATTTTTCATTACTTACCAAAAAACAGACTATTGGTACGATTACCATTAACAACATAAAATGGCTATCAATCGAAATAATGCTGTAGTGCTCCAGTTACATATTGATATGTTGTTCAGTAATGCATAGTTTATGCATACCACACGTATATATATATATATATATATATATATATATATATATATATTAAACTTACGCTTGTCAGTTAGTAAATAAAATGAATCATAGTAAATAACTGAATAAACAATATTTCAGTCATTATAATCAATCGCTTGCTAAATATAACAAACTGAAAAGATACGGTTGTGTAATTTGGTGTCCGTTCATAATTTCAGTACTGACAAGCAATAAAGATAGATAGAGAAACACCAGCATATATATACATATGTAATATTTGTCATGCAATTATTGATCTACTGTTACATAACCATGTATTCAGTCTGAATAAATTTTTGGTGTGGATTAACACCAAACATCAATCAGAGATAACATTTTTGGGCAGAAAAAGATTACAGAATTAATATTTTGTAATGCAACTGCAGATGAGAATGGCGATATAGAGGTGATTTTTGAAAGACAAATTGCTGTACATGCATACAGATCAAGATTTTAATTATTTTTCGTCAATTAGTCGGAGATTATATCACCAAAAAAGCATATGTTCATACACATACACTGAATGAAATGAATAACCCTAGTTTTAGAAATCTACACAACAATATCCATAAGATTTTTCATAACCAAACTTCTAACTGATATCGAGTACTTTATTGTTACTATGGTACAAATAAAATTTAGAAAATTTATCCAGTCATTAAAATGTACCCAGATATACATCTACACATGAAAGCTATGCTTTACGCATAATCATCCATGGATGCTAACACCAGATTTTTTCAATGAAAATTTCATCCAGTTGATTACTTTTAAATATATGTTAACTGATAAGCATTATTTATTCTAGGAAGACATACATATCAATTCCATCATTAAATAAATCAAAGAAAATCAAACACTTCCATGAGAAGGAAAACCTCTGAATTTTATTAGCAACACCCAATTAATGAGATGTCAACATGAAGTTTCAAATCAAAGAGGAAGTATCAAAACTAAGATAGATGTGAAATTAAAGAAAAACAGATGATACTTTTTTGTCACGATTTCAGTAATAAGCAACGTAGAACTTGTTACACATATTCATAGGTTGAAGTTGTCACACTATATTAGGACAGCAATGCAAATTTCAATAGCGAAAACACTCAAATGAATCTCGTGAGAATAATCGCAAAATATGACTGAGAAATTTATATTCTGAAACTTGTTTTGACTGCAGACAGACAAGATAGTCCAAAATATTTCCACCAGAAAGAAGTATGTCATATAAAAAGATTCCACGAACTGAACTGAGATATCAAGGATTTACTTTCATAGTGAAAACACTGGTAACGTTATCCACTGATTTACGTTACATAGGATCACTACTTCTACAATAATTATCCCATGGTTTGATAGAACAGTACTTGAGGGATAGTGGTGATCCGATGAATATAAAATCTTGATATGACATGTCCCCAAATATCCCTTTTCATATACTCTCTTTAACACAACACAATCATCATATTATGTTGAAGTAAATATGTGGTGTATGCTACGTATGTCTATAGACAAAAGTAGTAGGTTACACCAATCCGAAATTGGATGGCTGACCACAGAAGGCTAATAAGAATATCAAACTGAAGAAAACGGAAAAGGAAATAAAAGGAATTATGAACTAAAGGAATCAGATAGAATGTAACGGAAAATTGATGGAAGATTTGCAAATGAAGCATTTATTGTATGGTTCTCATATTTTACCAAGACATTCTGTAATTTTGTATGAAATAATGAATCAGTTGTTCTACACCTGAGTTCTCGTTCACTACCAATATTCTGATTCCATTATAGTTTGCAATATTCATCCACTTACTTAACCATTAGGCTGCAAATACTACGCTCCCTACCTAGAGATTAATATCAGTGAAAACGAATGAATCTAGGAAACTTGAATGTTTGTAATCTTTTTATTTTACCAAAATGATCAAAAGACTACTATTAGATTAAACACACAACATTCTTTGGTGAAAGGAATAAGCTTCAGAAGAGTCGAATGATGAGTCGATTAAAAATTAAGACCATGAACTCCTCAATTCGTGATTTCAATTGATCATAGCTTTTTAAAGTTATCAGACAAACGCTATAAATCCTTACTCAGCCTTTAGTCAGTCAATCATACGCAATGTAGGGCACGGCACACATATGTGTCAGTCCAGGTCGCTACATCACGTTAGTACAACGATATGTCAGAGTAGTGTAAAACGTACCGGGATTATTAGTAGTAGAATACATCAATCACGGGAAATATGATTCGAGAAAAAAAATATAGAGTTCTGAAATGGAACATATTTGAGAAGCAGTCTTTTCGCTAGAAAACAATTTCAAAGGATATTTCAAATGACAGAGATATATTCTCCTCTTTCATCAAATTACAAATTTTTAGAAACGTGGAATCTAGTAATAATTTTTTAAAGTTTAAATCTTGAAAATAAAGCATGTATTTTATGGTACCACGTTTGATTCACTTGTATAATGTAGTTATATACTACAACCACAATGTCAATGGAATAGATTGATAAAGGTTAAAAAGTTTGCTTTTGTCTAGAGAAGGGGGTTGTGGAATTATGTAAAAACAGTGTAAAATTTGGAATTAAACAATTAAACATGAAGAACGAAACACTACAATGAAGCATCCATCTGAACTAAAAACCCTCTCTACCATTCATTTACACATGTGGACTGAATATTTTCTTAGCGTTATGCTTATTACTATAGACCGAGTTAAACAACTGGAACAACACTTTGAATCATATTTTACTCCTTGAATTTTTAATGGTTCAGCAGTTGGTAACAATTCGAGATGAAAATTTATTTCAGATTTATTAAACCTTTACAAAGTAGCTCACTAAAATATAGTCGGCAGAAGAAAGTGACCATTATTGATTATTAAGATGATGAACCGATCAGTGTTAGGCCACGATTGAAAACCTGGAAGCATAGGACGGCCGTTCTGGTATGGAGCTTCTCAGCAACGCGGTCATGATCTCACACGTGGAACTCGAACCCAGGACCTACAGTCTCGCACTAGAACACATAGCCGGCATATTATGGTGCTAATGTCTAAATTCAGGAAATCCACGATTGATCGGCACATGATCTCAATTAAAACTCGATAATCTCCACAACGTTATACTGATATTATTGATTGTTTCATAATTACAGAAAATGTTAATATACAACTCAGCTTATGGTACACGAATGACAAATTATTCAGTCACACGTTTACAGTAACATTGAGAAAAACAAGGTGAAAACCTATTTATACATCAAGTTCGGAATTTTGTTTAAGTGAACTTTCTACATGTATTTTTAGATACCAGGTAATGAAATCACTTTATTGAGTAATGATTTTCGTAAAAATACATTCACACGTTATTCAAAAAAATAATTCAATTGTTATAAACCTTGTAAAGTATTGTAAGCGTGAATTGCGAGAAAAATTATCATGAGGATGAAATCGAAATTTTTTAGACAAACCAAGTATGTACTATACAGGAAAGAAAGACAATTAAAATGTACTGTAGTGCATGCTACTTATGCTGACAGATTTAAGTATTATGTAGCAGTAATTGGAAGTGGAATGCCAGACAGAAGAAGATTCAATTGAAGAGAACATAAAGGAAAACAAAAAGCAATCGTAATACAAACAGAATTGAAAGAATCATGAAGTATATAATGACCAACTGTAGGAAGATATGAAAATAATGTATTTACTGTATGGTTTTCATATTTTACGAAGGCACTCTGTAATCTTGCATTAAACAACAAATTGGTTTATTCTACCAAATCATCGTTCAGTATACTACTATTACCTTTTCAGTTACAAACGTATTTTATGCATAGCTATTATTTCAAACTGGATTTAAGCAAATGGTAGATAGATGGAATAAATTGTAAGATATCTATCAATAAAGATATTGTACATTAGTTTGAAGATATCTAACGAATTTTTCCATGGAATAAAAAATGAATAGAAAACAGTTTACATTTTAATATGATACGATACATTAAACACTGCATGATACTTTTTATTGCAGCCAAATAAATTAGGCTCAATAAAAAAGTGGTGACATTGATTGAAAAGAGAAGACAAACGGGATTATGTGGAAATAATTGTAAGGCCAATTAAAAATATATACAATAAAATTTGTCAACTTTATGCTGAATACTTGAATCAGATTGTGAGAAAAAGAGTAGTTGAAACGGTCGGTTTTCACTTTGTTGAGAACAGTAAGAAAAGCGATGTTAGTTAGAGAAAACTACATAATAACAATGTACCCCTGGATTGAGTTTTTTGATCATATCGAGGAAATTTTTAATAGTTTGAGAAAATGCATAGTAGCGCTCTACGCCAGTATTAAGGTATTGAGTAAAAATAGTAAGACGGAAATACAAGACTCAGCCATTGTAACTACAAGCCAATATATATATATAAAGTTTTTGATTACTGTTTCTTCCTCTGAGAATCTAATATGTGATTTATGGGAAATATAAGCTTAAATCTGCTTTTTAATGTAGAGTTTTGCTAGGTTAGTGTACTGCTAAAATGATATTATCCATTATAATTCCACTAACAGTGAAATCTACATATCCTAGTAGTCGAGAATTTACATGATCAACTTCTTTAAAAATTCATTTATAAAGTGGTTGCTACTGAAAGGTTATAAGTAGTAAAAACAAGCATGAAAAATAATAACTATGATACGACTGCGACTTAAAATTAGAAGGATAATGACATGATAGTTTGTTTACTAAATCTATTATGTAGAAGATTGTTTAACGAATAACACCTCTTATGTCTTTTAAATATCTAGGTAACAATACAAAATATGATTTCAATGCTTTGGAATTAACCAGACTTTTTTAAACGAAGCAATGAGTCATTTATACTACAGATGTTTACTGTTTATTTTGATTAACAGAAAATACTTTGTCAATCTTTTCCTATTCCATCCAACTATATGGCTTGTTTAGTCTCCATAATACTGATGGTCATATAGAGGTGAAATTCAAATAGCATAATACAAATTTTTAATAAACAAAATACATTGAACACACCTGAGCTTTTAATCCTTGAAGACCTCCAACCTGGAATAGAATATAAAAGCGAAAATAATTACAAAAAACGTTATTTGTAAAATGTGCCTATGTAAACAACAAAACTAAAACAAAGTAATCCAGGTAGCACAACAGGAGTATTTTGATTATTCACCATAAACATAGTCACTTCTATATGGCTAACCACTGAATCAAATTACTTATAAATATTAGTAATACTAGTTATTTTTCTACAAATTTAAATATTACAATCAAGAGTTTAAATTAAGCAGATTCTAAATTATTCAAGTTTGCATTTTCAGTCTATTGTTTTGTTTAGAAATTAAGTGATTCGTATTTATAATTTCTAAGTTTAGTTTTCTGTGTATAATTGACAGGTTTATTTCATTAGTATACATTATTCAGTTAGACAGACTGCTTTTATTTTCTTAATATTCCTTCAGAATACGAAGATTGATTCGGTGAGCGACTATCTATAATCACCAGTCATTGCAGCATAACAGTTCTTTCATAAAAAGACCTCAGAAAGGGGATAAGATGAATAGATGAAATGAAGCCTGAAAAAACCCACCTATTTAAAAGCCTTTTCGGAAAAAGATATTATGAAGAGCAAATGCTTCTGCATTGAGTGAGTATATTGTCATCAAAATCTATGAAGCTATTAAAAAATTCATAGTTTGGATGTTTATGTTATCAGTTAAAATGAACGAAAGATTTTACAGTTACACGTTACGGAAAAAAGTATAGATAAAAAGTTGTATCAGCGCTATACCGAGCGAAATATTCTAATCCTTTGAATGGTATATTAATTTCATACTAAAAGAAATACCAGACGTACTTTATGCGATAAAGTTACTTTATTTCTAATCACTATTTTGAAAACTTAATGTTCTCGTGATTTCACCACCGACTAATTTCTACTTCGAAACTAGTGAGTGCTCTGAGATCATAAACTTTAAAATGGACGGCTGAAATTGACAAGTAGGAGTAAAACCACAGGTCTAACTAGAAAACTAATACAATCACATCTTTCATTCACATTAATAACTCTGAATCTCCAGATTAAATTACATTTGGATTAATGATTCCTCTTCAAAGATTTTCAGTAACGAACACGCTGCTGCTAAAATAACTTTGAATATTTATTTCTACTATTATTTTATGTTATATACGAGCTGATTGGACTAAATAACCTCAGGTCCAAGATTTCTAGTCAACTTAACTATGGAGACAATGACATCTAAAAAGTGGGTATCGGTATTTCCTCGGATGGTCTGTATTTAGAATTTCCCGCGAAAGTGTTCTATACATTTGTATGTGATCATTTTCGAAATATATCACTAATACTAGTATCTTCTTTACGATCGTTGACCTTGTTTGGAATCCGATATCATTTTTAACAAGAACAACAACAATTCTCATTATTTAGTGGCACTTACCAGTGTATATTTACAATTTTTTAGATTTACAGTGTATTAAAATCTGATAACATTTTGGGTAGAGACACAATTACATATCTTGCAGTGATCAGATAATAAACAATTTATGCGATGTGAAAGACTGGGTACAACAATTAGATTTCGTTTTACAAGTCAATTATGCTTACAAGTCTGACAGTAGCTGTTACTTTGGTGTGCTGATTGCGGTTAGATATCGTGATCAGCTAATCAAGCTATATTGACTGGAACACTCGTTTCAATAGGTCGGTTGAAGAACAGTAAGACTAAAAGTAGTAGCTTAGGGTCCGAGATCTAAGTCATTCTGATGACTTCACAGGGTTTGACGGCAATACGGTGATTCCTTCAGACAACCAGCATGCAATAAGATGCTACATTTATACGATAGAAAGTAAGGGTTCGAAAAGACCAGTTTTAAAAATAGTACACCTCACCCTTCTCCATGGATTTCCATTGCCGTAGAAAAGACCTTTAATATACGGAGCTGTCATTTCACGATCGGCCTCAACGAGTAACTCTTTAGGCTCTACAGTCATACAGCCAGGCGGTCAGTACTACCCATAACCCTGTTTTCTTTTCAGGTACTTGAAAAAGACTACCCTTTAAAGGTCTGGGCAACATGGAAAGTGACAACCACTGACATACATTTAACAGCACCGGAGAATATGCTAACCAATCACATTAAATTTGATACCTCATATAAAGAAGTCTATTAAACCATGTACTTCAGAAGGTAAGAACTAATCATTCTTTCAACATACAAATAAACTAAAGAAAAATAATGTAGACTAACTGCTAAACTTAGTCACCATTATGATTACTAAAAATAAAAAAAGAGTGGATTCAGATAGTTTCAGAATAATTTATCCGTGAAATTATATATATTGAATAGCTTTGCATACACAACATATTTTTATTTATTACCAAACTACCTACATGGAATGTATCACATTTTAATCTTTAAAATTTAAATAGATAATTCATAAAGTAATGAATACACAGTGTATGGATCATAATTCCATTTACATTATTTTCACTTATTTGAACTAATTATTATTAAATAAAATTAGATTAGTGGTTAATTTAGCTATAGATTTATGAGAAAAAACAAATTCCATAACTCACCATTCGAACTGTGCATGTATGTTGAATACATGTTGATTTATGAATAAAATCACCATTGGTTGTAGGTTGTGTATAACTTTGAATATAAGAAATAACTTTCTTACGTTCATGTGGTCCCGTTGCAGACTCTTCTTTTAACCATTGATCACGGAAAAAATCAATTAATCGATTAGATAAACGTCGTTCATCATCTGGATTGTCACAATCAGATGATCCAAATCGAAACATATAACTAACCACTGAAATGAGATCATATAAGATGTAGGTGAACATTTGTAAATAAACTTTACAAATTCAAGCGAAAAAAAACCCACCCCAAAGATTTCATGAATGATATGTTTAATATACTACTGAAACCTAACCAAACCAAACTAAACGTTTTAGCCACAGTTAAAGAAATCAAATTCAAATCTGTTCAGATCGCGATCTTTCACGGAAAAGAAAGATATTAGTGTGATTTTAAATACAGACTAACTTTGATATCATCTATGTGAAGAAGACTGGAAAGTGTTTAAAATATCAAATGAGAACAAAGAAACACAATCTGGTAACTACTATTTTTTCTGCAAGCCGTACATTATCTGTGATGTATGACAGATCTGATCCTATTTTTTACGATTTTTAAGAAAGTAACAATACAATTGGAGGGATACCGTAAATATTTTGACAGAGAAAATCTAAACAAATCTGGATAGTGAAACTATCTTCGAGACTATAATACTGACAAAGAATCTGCCGGTTTATCAGTTATACTATGATAACTAATAAATTCTTTGATTTTAATTTATCAATAAAATAGTAAAACAAATAAATTTTTCAAGTGTATTTATGATATATATTTATACAGTCAATCAGCATTCATTATGCAACCACATTTCTGTACAATAATTATGAAATACGTTTTTCTGGTAAACAATACATAATTATACTATTGTAGTCTAATTATATTTTGATGTGACGAAACTACAATATAAATAGTGTATTTCACTTGGTTGATGACATACTATTGTTGAAAATACAATATCATATATATATTATGAAATGCGATAGTGAAATGGAGAAGAATTCATCCTTTGATTGAATAGAAGAATGATGAAATAAAGTCACTAAGTGATCTATACAATTATAGCTTGATATCCACTTATTATAAGTTTGTAAATTGTCAAGCGAAGTAGCGTACATGAATTTACATTCTAACTGATTACAGTCTTCCGGTCTTATATATATATATATATATATATATATATATATATATATATATATATATATATATACAGAGAGAGTCACTATTGTAGCATTTGTAGATTATAGCTTACATGGTTTCTCATTCGGTAAAGATGGTTTTGGTGGTCCAACGTCAGCAGTGGTGAAATGGGGTTCTTCCGGATCGACGTGATCCATACAATCGTTGTATTCATTAGCAGTATCATCACAGGAAATATTCCATTTTCCATATTGAGGTTTGAATTCAGGATAGTTCAATTCATTGATATGATTTGAAGAAGAGTTACAAGAGTTATTCAATGATAATGTATCAATTGATCGGATAAGTTCATTATTATTATTGTTGACGGATTTAGTATTTGTTTGATCAGATTGACTGAGTATAACTCGATTAAGATCCGGTCCCATACCATCTGGAAGTGATGGTGCTAGTATAACCTGACGGAAAAAAGACAACAAATTGTGACATTTAGCAAAACAGATGCCTATCACTTGGAAATATTAAAGTTTTGATAATCTCCCTGAGACAGATAGAAAACAAAGAATTATCCAGAACACAAATTTTACTATATTTATAAACAAGATATTTTTGGGTCGCATAGTGGCATAAAGTCTAAATAAATATAAGTTGACCAAGGAAAATGCTGTAGTCGTAGTTTGTTCATAAGAATAAGAAACTGTAAGCATTATTCTATCTTTATACTAAACTGGTTATGATTCAACTCACTAATTTTAAAACAACCTAAAGGTATTTTATAGTTAAAATGATATAATTAGTCAGTAAACAAGTACCTTAAAAGACGAACAGAGCTTATATGAAAATCACTCAAGATTAAAAAAACCCCACTGAACTGAGAGCGTAATATGGTAGATATTAAACAGAGACTAAACCAATGATGTAAAGTATATATGTACTACACAATGAAGACCTAAATCATTCCACAGTTTATAATTAACAGATTCGAAACAAATACATCGACTAAAGTATCAGTTGATCGATAACAAACTATAATGTTTTAAATTGAATGCTAACACGAATTATGAATGAATGCATTTTTGATGGTTACAAAATACTAAAGTGAATCCATGATTTTCAATTATATTGGCGTTGTATATTGTTGAATGATGTTAAGAAGGAAGAAAAAGCATTTATTCTTTTCAATCCTTTGAAACTAATTTCAATCAACTTTCAAAAAGAGAAAATAACGAACGAAAAGAAAATGAGAAACAAAATTTGCTTACTTCTCTAACTTTATGCCGTTCAATCACAACACGTCGTTGAAAATGACGTCGATACTTTTTACCATTTGCTTCAATGAGTTCATAAACATCTTCTGTATCTGATTTTACTTCAGAATGACAATTAGGTGAACGATCGTCAATATCCTCAGTGATGGATGTCATTGATTCGCAGTTAGCATCACTATCTAAAGTTGAAGTGTTTTGTTCATTTGGAATAACAGTAGTTTGTGTAGTGCTAGTAGTAGTCGCATCAGACGAACTAGTAGTAATGGAGTTACTTACACTTGGTGTACATGTAATAAGAGGATTTTCCATCTGTACGAGGAGAAAATAAAAAGGTAAATAAAACTAATGATTAAAAAAAACGTAGATTGAACTATTTCACTCTGTGTAGAGATCAAGAGAGAAGCAACAATTTAATATCAGAATGGGAGCTTGTGGAGATTGTAGTGGTTTTAGTAGTTGAATTCATGAGTTGATCTAAGCTAGACCACCACTGAAAATCAGGTTTTCAATGGTGGTCTAGCTTAGATCGACTCATGAATTCAACTATTAAAACAATAATTTGACAATGAAAAAAGGTTTAAATCCATCTAGTAAGTTGTTTATGGAAGAAAACAGTTTTGTGCTTATGCGAATCATAGTTTGCATAATGAAAAAAAGTAAAACAATTTTATAAGATGATGAAATTAAGAGAAATAAAACGATGCGTTTCTTAAGAAAAGTAAAAAGAAAACAACCACAATAGCAAAAAGTAAGGGAAACATTGTATAAAGGAAGATTCTTATGGAGATAAGTTACTTCCCAGTACATTTTTTCTTATCATTTATTTTTGCTAAACTAAATTACTTTAGGCATTCTTTCTATGATGATTTAGTTAAAAATATAAATAGAGGAAACAATATATATGAAGTGAAATACTCTTATTTGATATTTTAAGGCAGAAATCATCTTTGAAAGTGACTTTTTGAATTTGAAATTTAATGCAAGTTATATATCAAGTACAATTGTATGTGTACTTGGCCCAGAACAGCACTGTTTGGATAATACTTCACGGTTGACCAAAATAAACAATACACAAAAGTTTTCAACTGAGGATTAACAATTAAAAGCTAAATGTGTTAAAAACTGCACCATCACTCTAGAGAAATTTATTTACCCAGCCCATTTTGCCACATTTTTAATTTATTTTGTGTGCACTGGCGAGACTATAGTTTATGGATGAACCAATGAAATTAAGGGTAACAAGTTTTGGTACAAAATTCATTCATCCTTACAGGTAAATAGCATTTTGTTATTATAGCTGATGTCAGTTCGTGATGAAAACTCTTACTTTAAATTCTAACTCTAAATCTTGACCCTAATCCCTCATACTAATTTATGACCCTAGTAACGTGAGTTCTCTCAAACTGGCTTCAGCATTGCTCAAAACTCGTCTATAAATTTAAGTACCACCAAACGTTGCATGTTTTATACAGTTTATTTCAATTAATTTAAAATTCTGGTGTGATATTCTTCAGGTTTTAATAACAATCACATGAAGATTTCAAAAGTTTCAAAGCAATTCTGCAAATTTTTATGCAACGTAGTTTCAAGAGAATATTATCCTAAAGACCTCAGATGTCATCTAAAGTATGGTAGAAAGTGATAAGATATTTCCGTAAGCAAAAATATAAATACTTATTTGTCAATTGTACAATCAAGCCGAATAATGTTTACTTGACAATTACAAAAGTGTACGAGTTGATTGATATTCTAGTGACCAAATTTATCCACATAACAGCAGGAGGTAAAATCACAAGCTGAAATTCTAATCCACCATATTTCCCTTTGGACATTTATGAAATAGTGCGAGTTAGTGAATCGAACATGAACTATCATGTGATGAATAAGTCGCACATGCGTGAATTAGTGTTATAAAACTAAGAACAACTGTAGCTAGCTCCCATTAAAAATCGACATTAGAACCGCTGGGAACAGTTATTCTGTTAAGGTTTGGAATATTATAACAGAGGAGAGATACCCAGGACATAAATGTCTAGTGACAATCATGATACCTTGAGACCATTATAATAGAGTTGCACGTTTCTACGTTTCCCAACTCAGATTGTAGTTCAACCATCAGCCAATAGAAAGTGATAACGACAGTAACAGTTCGTGATTATTTACATAACGAAATATTTTATAATCTCTAAATTCTAGGGTCGGGAGTACCGAAGCATCTTAGCAAACATAGATTTATTAGGTATTAATCCATCAAGAGAATGAATGATGTTTGAGATCATCCTTGGTTGCTTTTTTATATTAATCAGTTAAAAGTACACTAAGAGTTTCACAAGTAAAAAGTATCAAAACATTAATGATATATTTGAGTTCTACACCAAAACATCTCACATTTATTTTCAAAAAAATCCAGTAAGTTGTCATTGAGAAAAATATTTCGAAAAACATATACATAAACAGTGGTTTCTAAGGGTAATATTTATTAATCTGACTGATAAACGAGTTCATGAAAGTAATATTTGAAAGTATCTATATTGTACAGCTACTATACATGCGAAATATAGTTAGACTTAAAACTTTTGGGAAACATCACGATATACACAAAGGATCAATTTAATTGTCAGTATTCATACTACTTTTTAGTTGATAAAACTTTGAATTATGCCCAAGTAGTTTAATGACTAATGTCATACAGTCAGCGAACATGCTATTAACATCATCAAATAATACACTAAAATTAAATTATGATGAAGCCAAATAATAACAAGATATTTTTAATTATTGAATAACACTATAAAACACTATGAGTGTTGAACTAAATCGTTAAAATCAGAATAAAATTAAATAATCGATTTAGATCATGCAACTGTATGATCTTATGACTGATTTTAGGAAATTTAATCAAATATCTAAGACATCAGGTACTTCTCATTATCATTAAACTACTGGACGTAGTAACAGCTCTTAAATCTTAACTCATTTTAAAAGGATCATAGTTGTTTTTTGTTAGATAGATTTGATGCTACAAAGTAGTATAATAAATAAACTTTGCAAAAGCTATTTAATCTAAACATGAAAATTATTGTTACATTCACGATACGTTTTAAGTGTTACAAGTACAGTGTAATGTGTTCTAAAATTTCAATACAAAGAATACATTTTTACGGTGACCATAAGTACGCAATTAACATCTCCGCTGTCAAATACCAACTTTATTATTCTAAAGTGAACAGATTTTACAGTCTTCGAGGCTGTAACCTTATGCTTTACACTAATCATTTTATTTGATTACCGATTTCAAAAGATATATTTGCTTTAAAAATGGTTATCCTTTTTAATAATTGATTTGGGCATATAACTGTAGAAACTAATAATTGACTGAAAAAATATTCTTCGTTTATAAACATTCATTGTTTAAATGGGTCACTATTGCGTTATCTATTACTTTTCAATAGGATAACTTTATTTTCAATGATCCTGTGAAAATATATTAGGTTATAAAGTAAAGAACGTTGTATTTCGTTTAAAAGTATTTAGGTTGGACCCTTCAGTAAAGATTTACGGTCAGATTTCAAGTGACAAGATTACGTTGTGAATGTTTGTTATTTAAAAAACGATAACATTACTGAAGTGTTATTTTGATGACAAATATAACTTAGATAATTATGTACAGATGGTTCATAAAATATTTAATCAATAATTATAGAGCACGCATGAAAGCGTATTGGTCAATATGATCAATTCCGCTTATATTATCGAGCAAACAGGTACTGATTATGTGTTAACTATATGACTATATATATAACTATATATATGACTTAATACAGCACTTTGTTAGAAGTAAACATTGTGAATTTTTTTCTGAATTACAGACAATTATTAATCAATCTAATATTCTAGTTTATTTCATATTTAACATCCTGAATTTATTCGTTTTAGATGGCTTTTAACCTATGAAATGTCATTATTCACTGTTTCATGATGAATAGTGTAAATTTCCAACATACAGATAATGCAAAACAAGAAAATTATCGTAAAATCATAAAACATTTGACTGGTATTACTTAATGAATTTATTGGCTGGCTAAAAAATGCGAAAAAATTAATCTACTTTATATAAATGGAGCAAATATTTGTGTTTACTTCAAAGTGACAATCTACAAATTACTTTTACTAATTAGTTAGTAAGAAATAAAGCAGCTGCCAAAAAGGAACCGTGATTGAAGAAGGCCACATGAATAGGAATGAGCGACACAAAACTCCTTCATCATAGATAAAGTAGTAAAATGAATATACAAAACTAACTAAAAAAATACTTAATTTCAACATCAGGTTTTTACTAGTCGTTTCTATAAGAGATTAAGCTAAGTAATTTTAGAATATGGTTAAAAAATAAAACAGAAGAATACTACAACCGAAGTGAAATAGATCCGTAGAAATTAAGGTATAAGGAATCATAATCTTAGTAGTGTGATACAGAGATACATAACAAACCGATTTAAAAACAAATTTATTATATTTTTTAGTTAATTTATTTTGAACTAAAACACCATTGGTAATTTCAAGTTTGTTAAAAATCATAAAATGAATGTGGTGTTTAGGAAATAATTTGTGAATATATGTATGCAAACTTGTTCTTTATTGAATGGAATACAAATATAATAAACAATAACTGAAAAGACAAATATTAAAAAAACAATTGTTCATTGGGTATGGTTCGAAATGACGATACAAAGAAAGTTATCCCGCATAGTTCTGAGGATCAACCATTAAAAGAAAACAATTTTGTAAAGCCAAATACCAAAAAGAAAATGTAAAAACACCAACTTACTTTTAATAAAATAAATTACTTCTTAAAAAGTGGAAAATATGAAAATTGGATAACTTTATATCTGGTAATTCTTTACACACATCCTACCATCAATTAATAAGAAGTAGATTCAAATAATTATAGGAGAGGATCAAGTTAGTTGTTTATTTGTTTCCTCAAAACTAATCACTCACTGCATTAACTCTACAGTGCGTTTTGAATTCATATCTACGTTATGGATGATGGTCGTTTTAATATTGTTATTCATCAGAATTTCAATTGTTGAAGCATTGTAAATATTTTCAAAGTAACTCTCATCAACTGGACATTAATAATATTAGCAAACAAAACGAATTTATAGGATTCATCTAAACAAACAAAAATATGACAATCAACAAAACAACACAATTATGAGTAGCATGTTAAAACAAAATAAAAATCCCTTATTATGTTATCTTACTTTGAATACGATCCTACTAATCTTATCAATAAATCTACCATA